CACCCCAGCGCCGGCCCCACTCACCCTTTCATTCTCCGCCCCGGGCCTGGCGTGGGCCGGCGAATCCCCGGCCTCACGTAAGCGCGCTCGCCGCCCGCCCTGCTTGCGCGGCCCAGCCCGCCGCCCTACGGGAGCCCGGGGATGTGGGCCGGGCCTGGGGCCGCCTCTGCTTACCTTTCAGCTGCTTTTTTTTTTTTTCCTCCCCTCCCTCCTTCCCCCCTTTTCCCTCGGCTGGGCTGACAGATCAGAGTGAGAGGCGCTGGCAGTGAACTAGGAAGCCCGGCTCCTGCTGCTACCGCTTCCCCCTGGGCTGCGGCGAGAGCCTTTCCCTGTCAAGTAAGAGGGGTGAGGATCATATTTTTATTTTGGAAACTAAAAAGTGCTCCCGGGGTCGGTGATTATTAAGGGGAAATCCCTGAATATACTCTCCAGCCAAGAAGGCAGGGCTGCCGGGCTGCCCAAGAAGAGGAGCAGCCTCCTACAGCACCACTACCGGCACCGCGGGGACATAACACCAGAGAGCCGCTCCTCGGCCTGCGGAACGACAACCTGCCTACCATCTTGGAGGCACCGGAGAGGGGGGCCGGGGGGAGGAGAGTGCACGCGCCCCCCGAAGAAAGTGCACCTTCCCACTTCTGGTCTCTGGAGCAGCCTTCGCCGGCGCCCAGGGGACCCGCAGGAAAGAAATTGGGGTGTGCATGAGAAACTGGGGTGTGCATTTGCACCAAATTGGGGGAGGGGGCGGTGGGTGTTTTCTCTGCATCTTCTGATGAAATCTTTACAAGACAGGTCTAACGGTACTGCTGTTTTGTTGTTGTTTTTCCCCATGTTGGTATCTCGGGTGGGTGTCCTTTTTTTAGGTTAATAATAATCTTATTATTACTATTTGTCCATTACACGTCTGAGTTCTGGGTCTGGCGGTCAGTTTGTAGATCTCGACTTCAAGAGAGTTTCTCAGTCACTTTGTCTACTTATTGAGGTTGTTGGACGTGGAAGTTCGGCTTTAATTTCATTTTAAAGTTTTCTGTTGCCTCTTATCCTCCAAATTGAGATTGCAGCGAGTCCATTGTGAAGAGCTATCTTTTGTCTTCTTTTCTCAAAGCAATGTAAATAAAACCTAGTGACTGTCCTGAAAGGCATCTTACAAGCTGTTCATTTTTCAGTGTGCAAATAAAAGCACTGTGTGTTTAGACTCCCTGTCAGTAGCTGACCACGTTTCTGAAAATAACTTTAATTCTGTTAATGGTCTACCCATGTGTAAAGGATGCTGTAAACAGATTGAAAGATGCTTTGGGTTTTCTATAAGTAAAATGGCTTATTAAGAATTGCACGTAGACATTTATGCACTTTTAAATAAATTTATTTATATAGCTTCTTTAAGGTTTGGATCTCTGGTACGTAACACGTGTTAGTTGTTTTGGCTTCCTGTGACACAGAATTAGGAAGTGTTTATTTGTGCTAGAGGTTTCATTAGTTCAGTTTCCAATGTGCTGCCAGCCTGTTAAATTACTTTTCATAGATTGCAGTGACTGTCATGGTTTACTTTTTTTTTTTTTACTTTTTTAAATGAGGATTTACTTTTCTTAATGAGATAAATGGGATTAAACTGAGAAGTGACAGCAGTTCTAAGTATTGGAGGAGAATAACTGCACAGACATTTTTCTATGTTATAATGAAAGAGAAGAATATTAGACTTATTTTGTATTGCTCAAGGAAGGAGGAGTTGATCCTTGTGCTGCAAGTTATTTTTTGACGGAAATTGGCTAAGCTAGTGGGAATGGATTTGTAATATTAGTGTGTTGATTCCTTAGACTCATTTAAAATTTATTATAAAGCATTTAGAAGGTGACTCCACTTTTTTAAAAAGTCTCTTTTGAGTTTCTAATTTAGAAGTTGTCATAATGTTTAAGGTGAATTTATGTCATGTACGTGTCAGATGCAACGTTAAGAGATAAAGGCAGTAGAAATCACTTTCCATGATTTAATTCTCTAGAGGTCTTGAAAACTGTTGCTGTCAACTTGTTTTTCCTTGTAGATGACATAACAATATGGATATGTTTTAGATGTTTCCAGAAATTAAGATGCATTTGTGTGCAATTTGTGTGAATTAATTAAGTGACTGAATCTTTTGATTCAGTCCCTCTTGTCACCAAAACAACTTGTTTGCATGATGTCTGGGGATACGGCTAAGCTGCAGTTATTTCAGTGCTTTTCTCTACTTACAGAGCTTCACACGGAAGCTTCATAAGTATATATTACATAGTACCTAATGTATCTTGGTAAACTTGCTAGATATTTTATGCGTGTTTTCTCATCAGCCCCTAATTTTCTTCCTTCTTTTGTTTTTGTTTTCGTTCTCATGCTCGTATTGGGCTTGAACTTAGGGTCTGGGCACTATCTCAGTTTTTTCACTCAAGGCTGGTGTTCTATCATGTTGCCACAGCCCCTTCTAACTTTTTGCTGGTTAATTGGAGATAAGCATCTCACAGACTTTCTTTTTCGGTCAGAATCGAACCCAGAGCCTCATGCATGCAAAGCAAGCCTCTACCACTAAGCTACTTTCCCAGCCCCATCACAGACTTTTTTTTGACTGAGCTGGTTTCTAATCTTGATCCACAGATCTCAGTCTTCTGAGTAGCTGGGATTACAGCCATGAGCCACCAGTGCCCAGTTTCTTCTTTCTTTCAATACACTTAAGGTAGTTGTCTTCCCTAGTTGAGTGAAATTTATTAACCCAAAATTTTGCCAGCCAGATTTTGAGTTCTTCTGCTGAGTAGTTTTTGGAGTGCCTGCCACAGTGCTGTTCTGTTGTATGTCCACAGGTGCTAGGGTCTGTTATTTGTAGCATTTCTAGGAATTGAATTCGGAGCCTCCAGCTTGCTAGGCATATGAGCTAAATTCCCCTTCCTCCGATAAAGCAAATTGTGATAGCTAGCTATTGGAGCTCTCGTCATTCATTATTGGTATCTGAACTTGCTTTCAAATCTATCATGTGTTTGGGAGAAAAGAAATATAAATAAATTTGTCTGTTGAAATGCACTCTGATTAATAGTCTTTTCCTCATAGTGAATGTGAGTGGTAGTGTCAATAGCTTGTTTATTCTATTATGCTTTAATGTTGTAAATAGTGGTTTGGTCTTTAGTTAAAATAGGAAATATTTGAATTTTTTTTAATTTTATTTTTGTGCTGGTCTTGGGGCTTGAACTCTGGGCCTGAACGCTGTCCCTGCGCTCTTCAGCTCAAGGCAAACGCTCTACCACTTGAGCCAGAGTGCCACTTCCGGTTTTCTTTTTTCTTTTTTCTTTTGTCGGTCGTGGGGCTTGAACTCTGGGCCTGAACGCTGTCCCTGCGCTCTTCAGCTCAAGGCAAACGCTCTACCACTTGAGCCAGAGTGCCACTTCCGGTTTTCTTTTTTCTTTTTTCTTTTGTCGGTCGTGGGGCTTGAACTCTGGGCCTGGGCACTGTCCCTCAGCTCTTCAGCTCAAGGCAAGCGCTCTACCACTTGAGCTACAGCGCCACTTCCAGTTTTCTGGTGGTTTATTGGAGATAGGAGTCTCACGGTCTCTCCTGCCTGGGCTGGCTTTGAACTGTGATCCTCAGATCTCAGCCTCCTGAGTAGCTAGGATTACAGGCGTGAGCCACCAGTGCCTGGCTTCTTATAAATATGCTTAATGAAGTTATTAGGAGAATACTATATGTATCCTTTATTCAAAAACTCTCATTCGGGGGCTGGGAAGGTGGCTCAATGGTACAGCTCTTACCTTGAATGCATGAGGCCCTGGGTTCGATTCCTCAGCACCACATAAGCAAAAAGGAAAAAGCCGGAAGTGGCGCTGTGGCTCAAGTGGTAGAGCACTAGCCTTGAGCTGAAGAGCTGAGGGACAGCGCTCAGGCCCAGAGTTCAGGCTCCACAACCCGACCCAAAAAAAACAAAAACAAAAAGTCTCATTCATGGATTGTGAAAGATACATGTATACATACTAAGAACGCCCAGCTTTGTTTTTGTTTTGAGTGAGACAAAGTCTCACTATGTATGTAGCTCAGGCTGGCTTTCAACGCCTCTCACCTGCCAAATGCTGAGATTTACAGGTCTCCACCTCTTCAACTGAGTGGTTCTTATATAATAATGATTTTAGTTTTGTGCAAAGTGACCACCTACTTATAAATATTCTTTGTGTGTGTGTGTGTCAGTTTGGGGCCTGAACTCTGGGCCTGTGCGCTGTCCTCAGCTCTTCAGCTCAAGGCTAGTGCCTTGAGCCACAGTGCCACTTCCGGTTATCTGGTGGTTAATTGGAGATCAAGGTCTCACAGACTTTCCTGCCCAGACTGGCTTTGAATTGCGATCCTCAGATCTCAGCCTACTGAGTAACTAGGATTACAGGTGTGAGCCACCAGTGCCTGACTTCTTTTTTTGTTGTTGTTGGTCGTGGGGCTTGAACTCTGGGCTTGGGAGCTGTCCCTGTGCTCTTCAGCTCAAGGCAAGCGCTCTACCGTTTGAGCCACAGCACCACTTCTGGTTTTCTAGTGGTTTATTGGAGATAAGAGTCTCATGAACTTTCCTGCCCAGGCTAACTTTGAACCTCGATCCTCAGATCTCAGCCCTCCTGAGTAGCTAGGATTACAGGCGGGAGCCACCGGCTCCCGGCTTTGCCTGGCTTCTTATAAATATTCTTAATGAAGTTATTAGGAGAATACTATATTTATTCTTTATTCAAAAAGTCTCATTCATGGATTGTGAAAGATACATGTATACATACTAAGAGCCCCTGCTAGTATAAAAACTCTCAAAGAACCATCTGCAATCACAGGCACTTACAGTCCCAGCTACAGGGGAGGTTGAAGCAGGAAGATTGCTTGAGCCTAGGAGCTTGCTGCTGATTCCTTCAGCATCAGGTTATGTGTGCTAGTCAATAGTGGGACTCTACCCGTGATTCTCCAGCCTGAGCAACAGACCCCAAGAGTGAGCAAGACCAGGCCACAAGTTTTCAAAACTATATATCACACTGGCTTTGGACAATTTTTTTTCACTTTCATAACTATTTGTTTTGAAAACATTCATTGGTAGTGTTTCTACTTGAAAGGAAGGGTTGAGTTTTATTGTGATTACTGTGTTCTGAAAAAAAGAAAAACTTTCTGAGATAATCATTGTATTTGACTTTCAGTTATTTGAATATGAAATTTCTGTAAAGATT